CTCTCAAAATCTTGCTATGTACTTTTCCCTCTAACACTTACTCTCGATGCAGCTCCAAAACCACAACTGTCTCTCCCAAAAGACCACACTAATTTTGATGCCATTTCTCCTTAGTATCACAGCAGCAGACTCTATGAAAGACTGCTCGGTTAGCAGTGGGCTCTGGTAGGGTGTAGGCTCTCCTAGTAAGGGATTTTGGGAAGGTATGGATCTCAGGAACACGAGATTCTAGAAAGTCTAGAACATGGGAGTAGATGATTCTAGAAAGGTGCAGACCCTAAGAACAAGACGTGTGAGTGCTGGGAGCAAGGGATTTTAGGAAGACCCAGGTCGTAGGTATTGGGACTCACCTTCAGGATCACCCACTGCATGAGACCCACATAGTAGAGAACCGACATGACACAGTTGAAGAAAATAATGATGGGCAAAACCTTCCAGGAAAGAAAGCAGAAAACCCAAGTTAGAGGCAGGCAAGTGGTAGGGGTCCACGTAGATCCAAGGAGACCTCAGATAGCCTACTCCATCCAAGGCCTTGCCACTGAGAGGTCTGAGGTCAGTGAATAAAACCTTAAGTGTCCCATATATGGTGACTCCTTGGAGGCACTTCCATCCACTCTGTTCCAGCTAAAATAATGACTACCCACCAGGTCATTCCTCTGCCTTCTATCTCCAAAGAGGAAACCCTGAATATATATCACTTGTACCTGCTCCTTTATTTGTAAGATGGGTATGAAAATGTCTACCCCTTAGGGTTATTGTGAGGGCTAAAGGAGCTGGCTTGTTGAAGCCCCTCACAGATGTACCTCTGAACAAAGGCCTAGGGATCTATTGCAAAAAAGCAGTCACTGAAAACACTGTGGAGGGGACTGGTGACAAAGATGGCATCTGGTGACACTTTGCACCCAGTCCCTCAAGAGAAACTTAAAAAACTGGTTCTTTTTGTTGTCCTCCCCCCCCCACACCAAATAATTCTTTAAAGAGATGGAAACACTTACCACTAACTTTATATGGAAAGGAAAGAGGCATTGGATAAGCAAAACATTGCTTAAGAAGAACAATGTTGGAGGCCAATTACTCTCTGATCTCAAAATTTCCTTCACAGTCACAAAGGTCAAAATAACCTGGGACTGATACAACAAAAGCTCCATAGATCAGTGGAGTAGAATTGAGAACCGTGAAGTAAATCCATCAATGTACAGTCAGCTGATCTTTGATGAAGAGCCAAAATACATTAAATGAGGAAGACATAGTCTATGCAACAAATGATGCTAGCAAAACTAGAAGAATGAAACAGGACCCATATCCTACACCATATACAAAAACAAATTCAACGTGGATTAAAGAACTAAATGGAAAACCTAGAACAATAAAGATCAGCAGTGAGGAAATAGGGATAAACTTAGGGGCTATCATACGTGGCAGAAATGCACCGTCAAACATAACTAAAATCACATACACAGTTGGAGACAAAACCGACGGCTGAGACTTCCTAAAAATCAGGTACTTATGTGTATCAAAAGAATTGCCAAAAGTGTAAAAAGAGAGTCCACAGACTGGGAAAACATTTTTTTGTAATGACTATCAGACAGAACTAATCTCTAAAACTTATAGAAAACTACAACACCTCTACAAGAAAAAAACAAACAACCCAATTTAGCACTGGGCACAGGATATGAACAGATACCTTACTAAGGAAGTCATTCAGGCAGCTAGCAAACACATGAATAAATGTTCACGGTCATTAGTCATTAGAGAAAAGCAAATCAAAACAACAATGAGATATCATCTCATCCCAGCATTAATAGCAAAATTTAAAACAAAACAAAACAAAAAAACAAGAAATAGCAAATGTTGGTGAGGTTGTGGAGAGACTCGTGGGACTGTAAAATGGTCCAGCCACTTTAGAAAACAGTATGGCGCTTCCTCAGAAAATTGGAACTAGAAATATCATATGACTCAGCATGGTATATATCCACAAGAAATAAGACTCAGGACAGGAGTAGATCTAGGCACACTGATGTTTCATCACAATACTATTCACAATAGTAAAAAGATGGAGACAGCCTAAATGCCTACCAACGGAAGAATGGTTAAACAAACTTTGGTACCTACATACAATGGAATACTATCTACAAGGGTGAAGAATAATGATCAATCTGTGAAATACCTTATAACATGGATGAATGGAGGACACCATGCTGAGTGAAATGAGCCAATCATGAAAGGACATATATTGTAGGCGATCGTTATTATTAAGAAAAGTATTTCATGCTAAAAGAAACATTCTTTGAGGGTTACCAGGGATGGGAGGGAGAGGAGAGTAACTCACTAGCCAGTAGAGGGTAGATACATATTAATTTGGGTGATGGGGAGGTCAATATACAAGAAGAAGAAGGTTGACAAAAGAATGATGAAGACACTGTGAGGTATGCAAGTGCTAATGGGAATAAAGGTAAATCATGTTATAGACACAACCTCGGAACAACAGTGTTCTGTAGGTAGACCATGGACAGTCACACAGGCTAAATGGGTATGAGAGGAAGTGTGGGTGTATACCCACTCTTAGATAAGAGTTTGAAAGAGGATATGTGTACTTTTATATTTACCTTTGCAGCAAACACAAGTATGAATGTGGTGGAGCATACAGCAGGCACAATGATGAAAACTTCTTTGATATTATCAAACATCTTAAAGCAAGGAGTTGCTGGGTCTAGGGGCTCAGGACTATAGCCTCATGGGACACCATGAGCAACTGGCACAACATAGTCCACAAAGACAGTGTTCTACATCCTACTTGGGTGAGTAGTGTCTGGGATTTAAAAAGCTCATCAGAGAACATCTAAAGTGCAACTACTGATCTTGCCATGTGCAGAAGAAAGAGAAATGATGAGAATGGAAGATGCTTGTAATCAATTAGTCCAATAGACTAATGAATCATGTGAACATCAGTCTCCACAACTCTGAGACCTGAAGAACCAGATGGTGCCCAGCTACCACTACCAACTACTCTGAAAGGGATCACAATAGAAGGTCTTGGATAGAGGATAAAAATGTGGGAAAAAACTAAAAATCATTAAAAAAAAAAAAGACTAGGCTTATTGGTAAGAAAAAGACTGAAGGAACCTAGGATATGACCACCCTTTATATCTGCAAAGGAGAGTTCCTTTGCAGACTGGCCTGATTTTCAGTCAATCAGTAGATGGGTGTATAGTTGGGGCAGCAACATACACACATCTACTGCTTGACTGAAAGGTGTGCTTACATTCAAACATTCAAAATCAAAGGGTCAACATTTACCTAAGGACAAAGTTGAGAAAGGATGGGAAGGTGGCTGTAACAGGGAAGAAATGTAGTGACTGTTACTGCATGGAGGGGATTGCAATCATTAAAATGGAACAAAGTGTAGGATTTGTTGAATGTAAAATGGGCAATCTTGTCTGTAAACTTTCACTCAATTCACAATAAAAAATTAAAAGAAAAAAATAAAACTTGTGAGTGGTACAATTATTGTTTTTTTACATCCTTAGCAAAGAAGAAACTATGTCACGAAACAAAATGCGTGTGAAGAAACAATTGCGTTGAAACAATTAGTCTATTGACTAATAGACCACGAGAACCTCAATCTCAATGACCCTGAGACCAGAAGAACTAGATGATGCCCAGCTACCACTGCTATGGAAGGGATCACATTAGCAGATCCTGGATAGAGTGGGAGAAAAATGTGGAACAAAATACAAAATCATAAAAAAGACTAGGTTTATTGGTCTTACAAAGACTGGCAGATTCCCTAAGAGTATGGCTCTTAGTCACTTTTTATGCCTGGAACTGAACTCACCACCATGACTCAACTTTCAGCCAAACAATAGACAGGCCACGGCTTATAGGATGAACAATAACACCAGGAAGTTGCGCACTCCTTAGAACAATCAAACATAAGACATCAGAAGGGCAGTAGTCACCCAGGGACAAAGCTCAGAGGGCAGAAATGGATAGGAAAGAAGGACAAATGCAAATGGTAAACATAGGAAGGAAGTGGGTAGAGTGTGTTACTTTGTGGGAACTGCAACCATGTCATGAAACAAAATGTGTGTGAATTGTTGAATGGAAAACCAATTTGCTCAGTAAACTTTCATTCAAATTACAATAGCTTCAAAAGAAAACACCGTGAATACAGGATTTCAAATTCTCACGGATTCCAGACTTTCTAGAGTCATGGAAGGTGGATGAACCCCTAAAACTATTGCCTTGAGATACTTTTTAAGCATTTAACCAAAATATGCACTGAAGTCTTCTTAAAACCAAACAATAATTTAGCTTAACTAGTAAAACATGTCTGCCATGAGTTTTAAGTCCTTTTAAAAACCATCTGTATGAGATCAAAGTGACAATAATAACTCAGAAGATTAAATAGGAACCTAGGGGCCGTGAGTTTATGTTAATAGAAGAAGAACAACTCAGAATAAGAGAATGAAAATAATCGCACAACTCCAAGAATGCAATCAGTGCCACTGAGTTGTAGACGTGGAAACGATTGAATTCTTGTCTTTTCACAGTGTCTATTCTCATTAACAATAACAAGATGGAGCCTACTTCTGCTCTGATGTGCATGGGACCACCATAAGCCAATTGTTTGTTTTTGTTTTTTTTTAGGTAACAGAATGATTTGAAACATAGGTTGTTAAATGGATAAAGGGAACTGTAGAATGGGGAACATACTATGCTGTTATTTGTGTAAAATAAGGATGTGTGTATGTGTGTGTGGGGCATGTTGTAGCATTAGAAATATATGCAAATGTATGGTACCTTAGGGAATGTACTGGTTAACCTGGGGTCAGGGGTGAGAGGGAGACTTACTTACTCTTTTCCATATACCTTGTTTGTTCTATTCAAATGTTATCTGTTCCAAACAGTTTGAAAATAGTAAGTCATGAAGAATTTATAATAACAAGGGACAGTCTTAAGTTAAAATGTTAAGAGAAAATGTTGGAATTAAAAACATTTTTTAAAAAAATGGTTAGAAGGCAGTATAGTCAGTTAAAGTATTTGCTTCTATGTGTTGGGACTGTGAAAATTTCCTTTCCTTCTTTCTCCATTGCTGAATTTCTCCTTTGTTCCTGTTGTTGCTGTTAAGTGCCATTCAGTCAGTTCCAACTCATAGCGACTCTGTATAGGGTTTCCAAGGAGCGGCTGGTGAATTTGAACCACTGACTTTGCAGTTCAAACTGAACTTGCAGAGCAGTGTTTATCTACCACACCAGGACAATTTCCTATAATGGGAGGAAATTACTCAAGGAAAGGGGGCATAGGCAGAGGAGAATTTGGGCGAAGACCATCAGTTTGGTTTTGGACTTGTTGGGTTTGAGATGCTCATGGTACCAGCATTGAGGGGGCAAGTTGGATAAGAGCATGAAGGTGCTCATGGGACAGGTCT